CGCTCCCCCTCCGAAAGGGGCGGCCGCCTCCTAGGCGCCGCCGCGGGGTCCCGGGGGAGCTCCCGGTACCGGTGGGCGCCTCCCTGCGCCCCCGCCAGGAAGGGCAACCGGCCTCTCCCCCCCTCGGTCTCGACCCCCCCCGTTTTCCCCGCCTGCCAGGGCCGCTTGGCCCCCGCTGACGCCTTGCCCGGTGCCAGCGGGTGCCTCCCCGCGCCCCGCCCCGTTCCCGACGGACCCCCGGGGCAGCGGTGATGCTGTCCGACACCACCCCCACCCAGCTCGTCACGGACCGAAGCTCCCTCGGCAGCTTTTGGGTGGCCTTGGGCTCCCCCGGCCCCGAGTCTCGGCCCAGGCAAGATCCTGCTCATGGGTCCGGCCCCGGAGGGGAACAGGGTGGTGTGAGCCCCACACTGGCCTGGGTGGACGGAGATGCTGCTGGTGCCTCTCCTTCATCTGGGCAGGGACACAGGCTGAGACAGCCTGTGTGGGTGTCCTAGCAGGGACCTGGTGGGCTGGACCCGAGCCCTGCTTTGGAGAGAGGGTCCCAGCCCTGGGGAAGTCCCCGAAGAGCCACACAACCAGGTGAAGCACCAGGGTCTCCAGGTGGACCTGGGGCACTGGGGGTTGGGTGCATGTGTGCTCAGATACTGTCCTGCTCCTCAGCTCTGCCCCACCATTTCTCTGCTGTTTGTTGCCCATCAGAGGTCAGATGCAGCGTCTGGCAGAGCCAGGCTGTGCTGGGCTGCCTGGCAGTACGAGGGGCTGGTAGTGCCATGGGACCTGTGCTCGCACGAGGAGCAGCACTGTGCCGGCATCCCTGGCAGTGCCGGGAGGGAAAGGGCTTTCTGCTCCTTTGCAGGATTTCTCCAGGGAGGATGATCACATGCAGGCAGCTGCCTCATGAAGGCAGCTTCAACCTCCAGCCCAGAGGGACAGACTCTTTCTTGCTCGCTGCATTTCAGCCCCCGAGGCTCAGCCCCACGTGTCTGCTTGCACAGGAGCCACGCGCGTGGCTGGAGCCTGGCCCACGGTGAGCACGCCACAGCACACAGCGAGGGGCAGCGTGTTTTATCCCAGGAAATAAGTCAAAGTTCCAAACTCCACCTTGTAGAGCAGCAAGAGGGATGAGCACAAACCTGGGGTGAGTCTGGGTTCCTGGTGTACAAAACCAAGGGAACAAGCAGGGAGGGGAAGGCGTTAGTCAGCACAAGGGAGCAGAGTCAGGCCCTCTCCCAGTGCTGTATGTATTAGCATGGGTAATATGACTTAAATATCTAACCTTGAGATGCTCCTGACAGATCCCCTCGACAAATGCCTGCCTGGGGGGAGGGGATGCTCCCAGCATCCCAGAGCCTGACGAAAGGAGCCTTTCATCTGCCATCGGTCAGCGGAAGGACTCCACTGACCAGAGTCCCTGCTGATGCCCAGCCAGCCCCAGCCCTGTCTGGGCTCAGTCTCTGGTGAGTCTCTGTCCTGGCTGGGCAATGGAGCAGAGCCTCTGCCACCTCAGTGGTGGGCATAACTCCAGGGAGTGAGGACCTGGACACCAGGGAAAGATGGACCCATCTTCCTTCACTGACAGTGAAATGCCCCTCTGAAAGCAGAGTTAAAAATCCACAGCTTGAGAACTCAGGGACTGTGGTTTGAAGTCTGATTTATCTTAACAACAGGCCCCAGCAGCCACAGGAAAAAATGAGAGAGGAAAAAAAAAACCCTATAAACATCCCTGAAGTCTTCCCGTGCAGCTGTCAGCAGGCAGGGAGAGTTTCTAGCTGCATACATAAAAGTGCTGCAAGGAAGAAAAAGGAACATGCTGAAACCAAACCCTGCTCTTTCCACAACAAAATACACAGCAAAGAAAAGCAGCCCCGGCAGCCAGTGGGCAGCCTGTCCTTCCGACTGCCTGGTTCCCAGTGGGCACATAAACATGCAACTGGTCCAAATGGACCTCTGCTCCCTGGGCAGAGTCCAGCTTCCAAGCAAAAGGCTTGTCCCCAGCGCCAGATCCAGGAGGAGAAATCCATGATGAGTTGTGGCTGGCTCAAAGCTTGGCTGGGGAGAGGCCTGCAGAGCACAGCACCAGCCACCACTCGCTGCCCTGGGAATGTTTTTCTGGTGCCTATGGCTCTGCCATCCCTCCTGCCACAGCAGACTCAGCTGCAGCTTCCCTCATGCCTGCGCTGAGCTGGATCCCTCATTCCTGGGGAGAGAGGGCCCTGTCCCTCCATGCTGCCCTCCATCCCTGGCAAAACCCTGCCTTCATCGCACTGTCACTGGCAACCCCAGATGGTCACTGTGCTTCCCTCTGCTGCTGTCAGGTCACAGAGAGCCTGTCCCCATCCCTCCACTATGTCCACCCTGTCCCCATTCCCACCCCAACCCCATCCCTCCCACACTGACTTTAAAAGCACTCCTTCCTCCTCGCCTCACTGGGCAGTGCAAGGGCTGCTGGTGGAGGTGGTGGGACAAGGTTTCCAGCCCTCTGAAGGGGACAGTCACCACCCAGCCAGGCCATGCTTCCCAAGCACCACCTCCAGCTCCAAGCTCTGCAGCCAAACCTCAATCTTAAGAGGCTGTGTCCATGCGTGTGTGGCAGGACAGATGGCTGGAGCTTTCACTGCCCCACAGAGCTTTTTGTCACTGGTCTGAAAAATGTGTCCCCCTGGGAGGTAAATGTAGCTCCATCTCTAATGAGGGTCCCAGCACACATCCTGAGAATCAGATGCTCTTCTCTTCTCATCCCATCAAAGCAACAAGGATCAAATGCTGCCTTCGTGCCTGGCAGAAAGCTGAAGCCAATCACTCCATGTTGGATGAAGTGGTGTGAGGCTGCAGGAAAAAAGCAGACCCACGTCCTGCATCCCATGTCCCATCCCATGTCCTGCATCCCACTCTGCAGCCAACCCCAGTGCCCCTGTCCCACTGGGACTCTGCAGGAGCCAACACTGAAATGGTGGATGGGAAGCAGCTGCCCCCTGTTCAGTCTGTAGATCTCCAGCCAGCCACCCCCATCGAAAAAGGAGCGTTTTCCAGCATTGGCACCCAGCCCCAATCCCGCTGCCTCTTTTGGTTGATGTCAGGAAAAAATCCAACCTGAGTCTGAATCACTCCCAGCCTGGCCAGGATGCTGTGCATAACTGCTCGTTTCCACCACTCGCCTGGAAGCCACCTTATTTTAGCACACGCTGCCGCAGACGGAGGAGCTCTCCCCAGTTAACTGTAACAAATGACCTTATGGGATTAGGGCCAGTAATCTTCCGATCTGGGTAATCTCCGTTAAGGGATTATTTGCCCACAGAAGTGTGGTGACCACTGGCCAGCCGCTGCCTTGCTCCCTCCATCCTTGTCCCCTGTAGTCCCCATGTGACCATCCCCGTCCCCAGTAGCCTGGAGGTGTTGTGGTGTTGGGGGTCACTCCACACCCTTTGGGCAACTTCTCACCAAAATGAGTCCCATGAAGAGCACGAGCCAACACGGCAGGTCCCTCCCTGCCACTGGAGCTTCTCCTCTCCCCCACACCACAATCAGTGTCTCAGGGATGTCACCAGGGCTTCCTCCCATAAAAGCACCAATCCAGGACAGACCTCTGGAAGTAACGGTGTCACTGTCACCACAGGACACCGAATGACATTGTCAGGGAGGCAGTAATGGCATGGCCAGCTCTGCTGCGGGAAGGGACTTGGCAGCACCAGCCAGAAGTTGTGACCAGGGAGCAGCACTGCCACACTGAAGGTCAGTCAGCTCTTTCTGGGCAATCTGGGGGTGCAGAACCCCAGGCAAGCATTCAGCACATCATTACCAGTAAGCAGCAGGAGCAGGACCAGCACCTGCACAGGCTCTGAGCTGGGAACCGAGCAGTTTCACCAGGAAGGAGCAGCACTGCTTTGGGACTCTGTCTGGAGCAGGGACACAGGACATGAAAACCCGTGTCCCCCATTACCTGCCAGGCCCAGGTGGGCTCCTGGGGCCTTTCTCCCATCACAGAGCTCACACAGCTAGGGTCTGCCAGTCCTTGTCATCAGTGACTGGGTCTTCCTGCACCTCTGACACCCCATTTCTCTATTTTCTCTTGCTCACAGGCTGGGGTGGGCTGGAAAAAAAAGGAGATAAAAGCTATTTTGAGGGGCCATAATTCCCTCTTCCTGTAGGCAGGGTCGTTCAGGGCCAAAAACTGATGCGGTGCCCTTGGCAGAACCTTGAGGCTGCCACGAGCTTCCAAAAAGGCTGGTCCCTGCCTGGTGCAGATCGGGGGGCACCGGGGCTGGCGGAGGGTGAGCCAAGTCACCGGGACCAGAGCCATCTCCCCTCCTTGGGGACAGCAGGCCTTCACCCCCCGAGCTCTGGACGAGTGACCCAGCTGCATGAAAGGAAATCTGAGCTCATCAGCCGGCGCTTTTAGTGCTCTTTAGTGCGTTCTGGGGAGAAAAAAAAAAAGGGGGGGGAGAGAAAGGCAACCTGATGCTCTAAAGAGCCCAGCTGCCCGACAGCGAGCGGCGAGGGAGAGGAGAGGGGGGAAGGGGGGAGAGGGACCCGGTGGTGACAAGGCATCAATAATTCAGGCGACCCCCGCGGCGAGGGGAGCGGGGCTGGGGGCCGGGACCCCCCGCCGCCGGGGCTCAGCGCCGTTCGGTGGCTCCGTCCTTCTGCCGGGCGGCGGGCGGGGACCGTCCCCATCCCGGGGGTACGGAGCCGGTGCGGGGGTCTGTGGGCAGCGCCCGGCTCGGCCGCCAGGGGGCGCGCTGCCACCGGGCGGTGGGGCTCCCCCCCGCTTCCGCCGCCGGAAGCACCGAGCCACGGCTGCCCCTCTGTCCCGCTTGCAGATCGTAGACCTGGACGTGAAGAGGAACCGGAACCGGGAGGCCCTACGGGCGCTGCAGAAGGACCCGGAGCCCGACGGTGAGGCTGGGGCCCGGCCCTGACCGGCTGCGCCCGCCGGGAGCCCCGCAAACCGGGGAACGGCTGCGCGACCGGGGGGAAAAGCTCCTCTGATAAAGCCTCTCCCTTTCCCCCGTCCCTTTCCCTCCTCTCCACCCCCAGGCAAGGCCATGGTCTGCTTCGGGAACATGTTCATCGAGCTCCCAAAAGGCAAGACCAAGGAGATGCTGCAGAAGGGTGAGGCCGGCGGCCCCAGGGGCTTTGTGTGCACAGTCTTAACTCTAAGAAGATTTTAGAAAAATCTTATTAGGTCTTATTTAGAAAAAAAAAAACAGGGTTCTGCCCAGCGCTGGGCTTCAAAGTGCCCAAAACCTCCTGCTGGCAGGCCCAGGCAGATTCTGGCCATCACTTGTCTGTGCCCCTGGGAAGCACCTTTGGGCATGAAGCAACCTGGGGCTGAGCCCCGTGGGCAGCAGAGGGACGGGTGGGACCCCAGCACAGCCGGGGGGGAGCCCTCTCCAGCCCCCCAGGCCTGGCCTTCCACGCTGAGTGACCCACGGGAGGTTGAGCCTTCACCCCAGAGCCTGATGTCCTCCTCGCTCCTGCCCCGCTTGTCCCAGACCAGGAACATCTGGATGAGGAGATAAACAACCTCCGGAAAGAGCTGCGCGTGAAGGTCAACCGCCTCTTCGAGGCTCAAGGTAAACTCTCCTGTTCTGGAAACTTCTCAGTGTCTGGGAGCAGACATCATGTGTCAGGAGGAGGATCCAGAAACTCCTGAGCTCTGTGTGTTCCTGCAGCCCCTTTCCCGCTGGCTGTGCTATTCCTGCCCGGCTCCAGCAGTATTGTATGGCTCCTGGTGCAGAGCTGTCACCCACCAGCATGTTAAATGGGCTCCCACATCCCTTCCACTGCTGCCCCTGCCCTCCCCACAGCCCCTCTGGACTTTCACGTGGACCGTTTCGCTTATTTTGTAGTGAAATCCTGATTTTTCTGTGCGTTCTCTCAGGTAAAGCCGAGCTGAAGGGATTTAACCTGAACCCCATGACTGCTGAGGAAATGAAGCTTATCAATCGCATCCTGGAGGGCTGAGGTGGCCGTGCCATCGTCACATCCTTGGGCTGTCACCCGTGGAGCTCACGCTGCAACAGCCATGGCTTTGGGGGTTTGCAGGAGGACACTAGTGTGCCTGGAGCCTGCCTCGGGTGAGATCTCTGGTGGGTGCTGGGAAGCATTTGGCTCCTCAGCTACACCACCACAGTTTCCTTGGATGACAAACCCTTTCCTGCTCCTTGCCCAGGTGGCAGAGGCACGGGCTGGGACACAGCGATGGGCAAATGCCCGTGGCCAGGGTAGAAATGGGATTATTAAAATCAGAGCAGCGGGGCATTCCTAACTCTGTGTGTCTGTTCCTTCTTGCTTTTTTTTTTTATGCGAGCTCTTCTGGAGTTTGGCTTCAGAGTTGGTTCTTTGTCGCGTTGGGAACAGGAGTAGGAGGAATTGGGAATCCACAGCCTGCCCGAAGCACAGAAGAGGAGTTGTGCGTGCCTGTGGTATTAAAACAAAGCCAAACTATACATCTGAAGCACGTCAGGAATCTCTTTAAGATTTGTAGGGAGGGATAGGGGCAGGAAGCATCCTTTTAGTCTCATTGGGAAAACATGTTCTGCTGTTAACCACAGAAAGGAGGCTTTCAAAACTAGATGAGGGGATAAAATGTATGTATATTTTTAAAAAAGCAGCCTGAGGAGGGCTGAGCAGCAATAGTCACTGAGGCTGTCTTGTAGTAGAAGGAAAACTGATTTCTTCAAAGATTTTAACACTTATTGTCTTCTACACTACCCTCCTTAGTCTGCATTTGCTACCCCCCAACAATTGTTAAAGATAAGATTTTTTTTTAAAAACAGTTAGTCATAATTGCTAATGGATTACGGTGTGATTTTTTTCTGTGTACAGAGAAGTGCCCTTTCTTTTTTGAACTTCTGTAAAGATACTTCCTTAAAGAATTTAAAAACTTTAAATATGGCAGTTGTCCTTCTTTCTCCAGCTCTCGAGGTAGCTCACCCCTTCTGTCAAACCTCTCACACGTAATGCAGAGGCCTGATCCCTTGATCTCTTCCCTTCTGCACCGCTGAGCAGAACTTCAAACACGGCACCACCGTTCTCCTGGCTCCCTGACCACCTTCCAGCCATCCCTCCTCCAGGCAGCCTGTCCGGTTCCACACATTCTTCAAATTATACAGAGCTCCAAAAATACCCTGTTTCAGACTCCTTAAAAAATGAGGTGTGATTTCTTTAAATCTAAGCAGCCAACTACCACTGCTTGATCTAAGTTTTAAAATTCTGTAGCTAACGCCACGTGCCCTGAATGTAGAAGTGCAAGCAGCAAAGCCGTTCACTTCAGGCTTAAGTTTCAGATACGCAGTTTAAAAACAGCATCGACTTATTACCTGACCTATCTTGCCTGTAGCTTTTTCAGAAAATTGCATCTCCTCTGGAGGCGAGAGGCAGCGCACGGCGCCAAGTCCCGGTGTTAGAGCCACACTCTTACACAACCCGTGTAGTACAGCCAGCCAGCGTCTCCCCAACATGTGATGGCGAGGTTATTTTTACAGTATCATGGCAACAGGTTTTCTGCTCTGACATGTTTCCATAGTAGTAGCAGTAGGAGGACCAGGTGCCTGCCTTCCCTAAGAGCTTTGTTTTGCTCTACAGAATGTGTTTAGCCCTTTGATTTTCTTACATGGTACGAAACTAAGCTCTGCGAGCGCAGGTGGACAGCTGAGAAGCCAGCGTCCCTTGTGTCTTGTGTCAGCCACTATGAAATACTTCATTCAAGCTTCCAAGCTGGGGAACCTTCAGAAGCAGAAGGCCAGCATCTTGTGCTAAGTCAGCAGTGGCCAGAGAGAAGTGGGACCTGCTGCTGTCTTGATAGGAGGAAAAAGAGAGTGAACTTCATCCATGGCAATCTCTCCCATCCCAAGCTCAGGATCAGCATTACACTTTCTGCTGTGCAGGAAGATTCCTGAAAAGCTGTTTCAGTTGTTTCTTCCCGTCATCTTCCCTAGCAGCTTGCAAAGAAAATGTTAACAGGGCAGTCACACATCCCCTTACTCTTCCTTCCTGTGGAGGTGAGGTGATGTCCTACTTTCAGGTGCAGCTGTACTTGTGTTTTGTTAGTTAGGAACTACAGCCAGAGATGATCGCAGGCACACTAGAGGTGAGGTGATGTCCTACTTTCAGGTGAAGCTATACTTGTGTTTTTAGTTAGAAACTACAGCCAGAGATGATCGCAGGCACACTGAGCTGTGTACGGCAAAATAAAGTTACAATACATGTCAGCCTCAGAGGTATGACTTCAGAGTCCGAGTACTACTTCCCAAAAGCAAGGTAGACAACTAGACTCAGGAAAGTGCCCAGTAACCAGTCACCACAGTGACTGTAGAACAGTTTTTGCAGCAGAGCTGGCATATGAAGCAGCCTGCTGTGACTTGACGCTTGAAAAGCAGGACTATGAACAAAACTGTTCCCACTACATTTACATGCTTGTTTTCAACAGTGCTGCTGCAGCCTGGGCACTTACATCCACTTTTGGAAAGCATTTGCTCCTTTTGGTTTCTTAACCCTGTAAGAGCTCACACACCTTTTGGTTTTGAGTGCAAGGTGTGTGCTCTCCTCTTGCTGGTGTGCAGAGAGCTTAAGGGCTCGAGCAGGGCACCCTAAATGTGTATTTGTCATGATGTTCTCATTCACTGGAGAACCCAGGTCTTCCCCTCTGCTGACACTCCCATCCTTCCCCATCAAGTCAAAGCCTCCAACATGCTTCTCCTTCCCCCCTTCCCCAAGCCTACAACATCCAATACACATACTGAAGTACCTGAGCAATGACAATTATCTGTCTGCACACAGGAATAAACTCCCAGACAATCAGAGACAAAGCTGGACAGCTGAAAGCAGTGGACATCTTTCTACTATTAATATCTCAGGTTAGCACAGTTGTAAAATCAATCACAAAGTGCTGCAAGACAAGCTGCTTGGAACAGAGCACTCCAGAAGCAGTAAGTGTAGGAGGCACAATGCAGAAAGGCCTCTGAAAGAGGGCTCTTGTGCAAGTCCCAGCTCTGACACGGACTCCGCTCCCTCTGCAGCCCCGTGCTGCTTTGTTTTCCCCACTCTGAAGGGGCAGCGTGCTTGCTTACTTTGCTCTGTTTCTGGAAAATCATAATTTAATCACTATAAAGGTTAGAGTATTATCACCAGGTGCCAAGAAAGACATGGAACTAGACCATCCATTGCAAACATTTCAATAAAACCCCTTAAAAGGTAATAAACATCTTTGCCCGCCTGCTCTCCCTGGCCACAATATGAAGTGTGTCTTTGAAAAGATGACACTTAGAGTTTCCAGTCTTCCTGGCTACTGGCAGTGAGGGAGGGTGAAGCATTCACCTCCAGAAGCCAGCAGAGGAGATGCGACAACAGTAAATTAGGGAGAAACAGGCAATTTTGCCAATGGCTCATCTAAGAGAAACGCCTGTCTACAAAATCGTTACCCTGCTAGCAGGCAGGAGTAAGTGTGAAGCAATAGGAAATCCAACCCCAAATCTCTTTCCCATGTGCTGAGCCAAAGAACATTCTGAGCTTATTGCAAAGTTTCTATTCCTGTTCTCGATGGTACTAAAGAAAAAAAAAAAAAAATGCCTCTAGCTTCCAGAAAGACATACAAGTGAAAACCAAAGTCTAGCTGAAGCCGTAAATGCTGAGGAGAATTCACAGAATGAGCATTAACCCTTTTTTAGTGGTGGATGTTTCCTGGGAACGGTTTCCTAGCACAACAGGGTGTTCAAACAGCTCTTCTACGAGAGCCCAGCAGCACTATCTGAGCTCTGTGATGACATCGAGGACTTTCATTCTGATCCATTTGTTTCCTGACCAACTGAAGTTACTCCAGCTCTTTGCGTGCAGGCTGCCTAAGCAGTCATTTGGTTTGAGGCTACGAACTGAGTAGATTGTGCAAATTAGAGCTATTCAGGACCACAGCTGAGATGTATTTATCTGCTCATTTGAAATAAAGCTGTCCCCAGTGGCACCACGTGAAATATTGGACTGATGCTGACAGGACGCAGGGCTGTAACAGTTACACCAGCTACCACGTCTTGTTAGACAGAGAGTTAAAAGGAAGTAAATTAGAGAAGGCATTTGCTAGGAGAGCACCGTTGACATAAATCATATCTAAGGGAAATTTCCTTACCTATTGTACTGCTTGTGCTTTACATGATTAAGGCTGAAGGACTAATAATCCTATTTGCTTGTCATTTCCGAAGTACTATGTGCTGTTTCTGTTTTTCTCAACTCCCGTAATTACAAGGCAGTTGCACTCTCAGGTTCCTGCTGTTGCAATACTTGGGCTGCACATGTAGCAGATAAAATTCCGAGAATTTCAGCTGAACTTTAATGATACATAGTTTTCACTTAGCCAGTGAGGAAACTTGTATGTAAGAAAAAAAATATCTAGAATCACGTTATGTTTTAAAGGGGGTTTTTTTGTTGTTTTGTTTTAAATACCCTCAAGTCCCATGGAATCCTTTTCTCTACAATTGGCAGGAGGGACCTCTTTTGGTTGGGGTTTGCCTTGTAGCCCGTGTACCACAGACATGGGTCGTGTTTAGTGCTGGCAGCCAAAGGGCACTGGCTGGAGGTTTATCAGGGCTGATGGGGCACTGCTGTAAGACACACAAGCAGGAGAAGAGATGATGGTAACCCCTCCCTCTCTGGCAAGTGCTGCGATACTTGTGATATGCTGATAACTTGGAGGGGAACATATTCCAGAAATAGCCAAATTGGCCAGGTTTCACAGCACAGTGTGAGAGATCCTACAGGCGAAGTTACAGCGTGCCACACCCAGCTGATAAACTCTGACACCCTGAGCAAATCCAGCTGGATTTCCTCTGGACATCAGCTCCCTTCATGTAAAACAGTTCAAACCTCTCTACACTCGACCTGCAGTTCCAGACTGGCTCGCTCAGAGCCAGCTTGCAAGCACCTACCTACAAGACACAGGTGCATCACAAGACACCCATTTCCCAGGGCAAGTACCTGGCCTGATACTACAACCCCTTGTATATTTATTAACACCCTTATGACTTTAGATCCTGATGGATCAGGATGTCATAGCTCAAAGCAGTGTTTGTCACTGCTAATCACCTTCTGAAGTTCCCTAACAGCAACCAGCATCTTACCTTCTATCAGGGTACTGCAAAGATTCTCCTTCCCATACAGATAAGAGAGATTTATAGAGGGAACAGCCCATAAAATGGGAAGTTCAACACTATCCGCCATCACTCTCGAACACTGACTCTCATCTCAGATTCATGAGGGATCTGACATCCCATTTAATATTTTTTTTCCTCCCTCTTTCTCTCTTTCCCTCAACTGCCACCTCTTGAGAGAGGAAGCGTAACAGTGACAGCTGTGTGCAGCAACGTCAACCCTGTTGTACCGCCGAGGTCTTAGAAGTGAAGGGCTAAGCTGTAAGATATCTACATCTCAGCAAAGCACTAACCAGAAAGTTATTAGGTTTAAAGTCAAAAAGCTCAGTCTCATAGATGTGCAGACAGCTGCAAAGCAACGGTTAAAGCAGAACGCTCACCCCAGCCTCTCAGCTAGAGCTGCTATCAACGACATCACATTTATGGGTGTCAGGAGACAAGGCAGCACAGTTAAGTGGCTGCAGCACATGTCCACGGTGTGGCAGCCGGCAGGATGAGGTCAGCTCGCTCCCATCTGCCAGAGGAGCCCCAATGGCAGGCAGCAGGGGAATTGTCTGCAGACAGTGATCTTCCCGGGATCATAGTCACATACAGTCTTCTGCAGTGCCACATGTGTGAGATGAACATCTGGAATAAAGGAGAGATACGGATCAAAGACAAACAGACACTGAATAAGCAAATACGGAATTCTCACTCTAAACTAACCAGTCCTCTTCTGCCCCAGTGCCAATTAATTATCTTCCCCATCTGTAATCACAGGCTCCAACCACCTGAGCTTAAATCCAATACTGCATGATGGTATCTTACTAAAAAATGCAGGGAAAATATAAAAATCAGAAGTACTCAAGAGTGGTATCTGGAAAATGAAAGAGCAACTGGCTTGAGCTAGTACTGTACAAAGCTTTTCATGTCAGCACGTCTCCAAACCTCAGTGCACCTTCACCCAAGACAGCTTGTACCCCGACTCTGGAAAGGCTTTTGATCATTTAGAGAAAGCCTGAACTCTGCTGAACTTTCACAGAGAGAAGTGATGGATTTTCCTGTCTACTAAGCCATCAAATTGAGGTGGGATACCTTTTAGGAAGATGTGTTAATCAAATGAAAGCTATCAAACTCAATAGAGTAGCAAGTGTGACACAAAGGAAATCAAATAGTTCTCTCCCATGAATCACCCTGTCCTTACATTCTGTGAAGCTAAAGAAGAAGAAAGGCTGCCAACATTCAACCACTAACAATAAAACCAGGACTGACATTTCAGCTTCGGTCCTGGCTGATTTGTCAAACTGACATTTCCAGTGATCTGGTGACACCAGTTTTCCAATGAAAAAAGACAGGAGAGAGACAGGGTGACAGTGGCAGCAACAGGACAGCCGAATCCCCTAGGTGTTTGCAGGAGTCCGAAGTGACAAGGTTCATCTGATGCATCCAATACCCAGCAGTAGAATTCTACATGCCTTTTCTTACCCTTCTTCATGGCACACACAGACAGGTAGGATACAGTGATCATCTCTGCTATTCAGAGTAAATCACATCTTAGAAAAGCAAGCAAATTCACCTCTGGATAACCAGGCCTTCAGTGGGATGTACTGGGAGAAGAGGAAAGGAGCAACCGGGCATTAAGGCAAGGAAATCCGTTTCTGGCATAATAATGGTGGTTTGCACTTAGAGATGTCACTAGAACATAAACTCTCAACCTATGAAGTGCAGAGAAATGTATCATATAACCCATTTGCTGATATTGCTGCCTAGTGTTAGACCTAAGATGGGAAGTTTATACATTAACATGCACATAAAGTATAAGTCAGATTCCAGATGAAATATCTCACCATTTGGGAAAAGCCACAGTAAGAAACTTTGTTGTTTCCCTGGGGAACGGTGACGGAGCATTGCACGAGACAGACACAGGAGAACACAACAAGTTATTGGCAGAAGGAGAGAATGAAATAAGAGCAAAAAACCAAATTGCCTGTTGGATATTCCCCAAGGAGAAGACAGAGAGTCGTTCTCACCTTCTTCAATCAATGGTATCCTTCAGTTTTCAGAACACCTTCCTTCAACACCAAATTCCTTCACCTTGTGACCTGCCAACACACAGAGGGAAGAGCAGAGTTACCAGCTTTAACATTAGCATTTCCTGCTCTTTCCCAGAATTTCAGTGTAGAAGCCTTGCATAACCTGATTCATCATCTGTTTGTATGCAAGCACATTTATTTAAGGTTATGGGGACAGGGGGATCCAACAACAGCTCTCTAGTGGAAAAAGCTCAGATTTGTAAGTGTTAGGAGGATTCCTGAAGGAAAGGGCAGCCAGCCTATGGGGAACTTCCACAGTACTGAATAAACAAACTCTGTCACATGCTTGCGAAAATATAAGTAACGCAACATATGTTGTTGGGAGTGTTTTTAAGTCACATTTTAAATTTGTGTACATTAGAGGAGAACTTAATTAAACAGGAAAGTCATGAAGGATGTCAGAGATCTACGGCAAGCAAGAGCAGAACGACGATGAAGACAGCCCAGGCTGCACAATATATTCTAAGTGGGTGAGGAGTGGCTCAGATAAGCCAGTCGAGAAGCAAGACTCCACAGGGCACCTTCCCAAGGAGGTCCAGACTCCCGCAGACCCAGGATGTGGCACTGGGCACGTCCTGACCTACTACTGCATCCGCACGTGGGAGCAGGCAACCTGAGACATCACAATGTGGGGCTGCTCAAGAGCACAGACCAACAGAAGTAGTAACACGGAGTTTATCTTTACTTGTCTGTGAGTTTTGAGGTCAGCCACAAACTATTTCATTTAAGTTGTTGGTATAATCTCAGTAATCACAGGCTTTTCATACATCCTTGTTTACTCTCTTCTTTTTTTTTTTACCATGTTAATTGAGGTTGTGGGCATAAAAATCAGCTTAATATAAGGTTTTTTTGTTGCCAATTAACACGTTCCCATTTGTAGAGTTAGATAATCACTAGCTGCTATCCTCCTGGCTGTAATTCACAAGTTAGTTTGCATAATTACCTCCCATTCACTTCACACAAGTGTGTCCTTTACTGATGGGCCTGACTCGCAGGGTAAGGAGAATCCTCCTGTCCCAGCCTCCTCGCCAGACCTGCTGCGCAAAGCAAAGCGACTGCTCGCTCCCGGGTCTCACAGATGGGTGTATTTTTAATTATGCACCACGGCACGATACTCATGATGTTAAATGGCTTGAATCATCTGGCAGAAGCAAGGCATGCCTTAGCACCACGTGTTGTTATTTCTAAAGGAAACACATTTTTCCCCTCAGTCCCCAGGATGCTGGCTGAACTGGAAGTTGCTGTGTTCAGCACAGCTCCAGACAGACAGAGGTTTGGGGGGGACTAACGTGATTCAGAGCATGAGGCTACCCTTCAGGTCTCTAACTGCAGAGCAGAGAGAAGTTAATGCCAATCAAATCCACCCCAACCTGCATTCCAGGCTGCTCATGGAGTCTCCCGTGATCTCTTCACATTCTAAGGATAGAAGTCCACTCCATAAGTGGCTGGATTTGCACTGGCTGACATCTAATATAGCAGGATTTCCCTAAACTAAACAGATGTTTTCATAGCTCCATCTTTAGGGGCTGCCCTAGAATGCTACTTAACCAGAAGTCAAATTAGACAATTGCCCTGCACACACACACCTTCTTGCACACCTGCAGCCGTACTGAAAGATTTCAGAGCATGAACTTGGCCATAACCCCACAGCGAGAACTCCTGGGAGCACAATCTGTTCCTCCACACAAGAATTCTGCACTTTATATCTTCACCACAGTTAACTTCAGCTCTACAAATAAACTGAGCTGTCTTTCTACTGCTCAAATAAACTGTTACACCAGAAGAAGTGTTTTAGTAGTACATGTTGACCAGGGGACTGGCCAGGAGGACTGCTGCTTCCAGCCACCTTGCTCTGCCCAGTTCCTCCTGTGGATTTCCTGCATATTTTCCTCTTCCTCCACAGAACGAAGGCATCCATTCATCTCTGTCTCACTTTCCTTGGGAGAGCACATACTTACTGGTTTCAGAATCCAAGTGATGCCAGGATTCTTGCGAAATTCTTCCACAAATAAATGATACTCAAGGCATTCTGAAGGTCTTTGGAATAAAGGCACTTTTTGTTGCCTCAAGCTTTCCTGCTTCTCCTTCTAACTGCTTCTGAAACCTCTTCAGATTCTTCACTAAGCAGTTCCTCTGACTCAGCTGCGTAGAAAGAGAAATTAAGGTTCAGCACAACAAATTCTCCCACACTCTGACTCACTTTAATTGCCCTTGAGAAGCTTCTGGGGATCAACCGCACCACATACTCTGAGGAGAAAACAAATAAATAAATAAATACAGATTACCATTGAGAACTGCTTTTTTCTTTGTGGAGGAGAAGGCTCGTTTTTGACGTTATCTCTGCACAAAATGTGGGGAGCTAGAACAGAGCAGGTCTTACAATCCACGTTCTACCATTTCTGCTGCAGTCTCCCCGTGCAGGCAGCACACTCCTCGCCAGGACAAGAAGCGCTGAGGTGACTTTTAGCCCCCAGGACTGCAGCAGCCATACCCCACTGCTCCCAAACCACCGTAGGATAAAGCCCAGTGCTACAAACCACCCCCAGGCTCCCCTCACGCCATGGCTGCTGAGTGTGAAGGCCCAGAGCGGGGACACGTCCTGCTCAGCCACCCATGCTGTGGTGGGAGCATCACCCTGGAGAGGACGGGGCAGGAAGAGTTTTACCTGTCACAGCTAAACCTGCCCGTGGACTCAAAGGAGACTCTGCAGGCCTCTCGCAACGCACCATCCTCGGGCGGTTTTAAGGCAAAAGCTCCTTTTTGCTGGGCAGGTGGGACGCAGTGCACAGGGCAGGAGGCCCCGCTGGCGCTGTGCTCACCCTCACCCGCACATAGGGTTTAACACACTGCCCTGGGGATGTGCGAGAGCCGGGGAGACCCCACCGTGAGCCCCTCGGACATCCCGTTCCGGGCCGTTACCCCCTGTTTATCTTGCGCTGCGGCCGCCGCCGCCTCCGGGGCCTGGGCCTGCTCCGGGGCCTGCGCCCTCCAGGCCGCGCCCGTCCCCATGGCAACCGCGCCGCCGCGCCAGCAGGGGGCGCCCGCGGGACCGGAACCCCGAC